TCTTGTCACCAACACAATTATAGACAACCGAAGCAATTAAATTTAGTGAAATTTGACTGTATGATTTTTAATTAGAATTCATAATAAATAAACAGCTCGATTTATTTATTACTCACTCATCGAGTCGAGTCGACCGCTCGACTCGATGAGTGAGGTATTGAGGGTTTTATGATGAAAAATACAAAGACAAAATAAAATGTGTGTATGTACGACAGCGATATGTGAGATTATAAAATCTATACATCTATATATATATAAAAAATTGGAGTGACTGTTTGTAATATTGAAATTACCGTTATTTACTACATGCATGTGTATATAAATATGGTACATACACCAAAATAAGATTTTACAATTTTTGTCTGGCTGTTCTGGCTAATCTCTGAAATGGGTCGATCCAATTTTGACGGGACTTTTTTGGCAGGTAGCTGATGTAATAAGGAGTAACATAGGCTACTTTTATGTTAGAAAAATAAAGTTAAATTCTACGCGGATGACGTCGCGAGTAAAAATAATATTAAAGTCCATCAAGGAGTTCGCTACAGTCTCATATTCTCTGTGCATCATTTTAATAGTATCGTTTGTATCAATAAAATAATATTTTATGAGTCAACGACATTACACGTGTACCATTTAGTAGATTTATATTTATTTGCTGAAGTTGTTAGAGCAAGCGCCAGCTCCGTCCGGGGGCGTGGCTGGAGTGCAAGTGAGATATACTGACGTGTTTTATTGAGATAATTATCATACAACCCATTTAATATATATACATTTGTTTTACGCCTCCGATATTAGCGACACGTGTACTGGACATACAATTAAAATGAGAAATGGAAAATTAATTTTGCATTTGTTATTTTGTTATTATGTGTCGAAGTTCATTAAAACGTAATGCAGTGATTCCCAAAGTTGTCTATATCGACCCCTAGGGGTTTACGACAGCGGTAATTTTGTTGTTTTTACTTTATGTTTTTAACACTAACAACACAACTTTACTATAGTTAGAAATTTACAAAAAAACCAATACCAAGTAAGAATGGGGGGTCTACCCAAAACCGATAAATATGGTAAGGGGTCTACGATACAAAAAAGTTTGGGAACCTCTGACGTAATTTGTCTTCACGAATAGTATCGCGGATACCCTATCCGTTCTATATAGCCAGTAGACGTTGCCAACTGTATTGTGTTATATTATTTCACGGGATATATCGACGACCTCGTTGGTTTAGTGGTTTAGCACACTGCTTACTACCGATGGTGGTGAGTTCGATTCTTCGCACTATACAAAAAATTGTATTAATTAGTATGATTGCTTGTATCAGTGTTCTCGGGGTGTTTTCTGTGTATATTATGTATATATTTATAACAATATGGATGTATTTCTAGCAATTGTCTAGTACCCATAACAAGCTCTGCTTAGCTGTTTAGCTTGTAATCTGTGCTCCCATCATTGGTGAGGAAGTCAGTTATGCTTCTAACTAAATTTCTGGTGATGAGCACACCGATAACACATAGGATTTTTTTACAAGAATGGATTTGAACTCAGGACCTTTCTCTGACTAACTCTGGTGATGCGAACACAAATGAAATATTTTTTTTAAAATATGACTTAATTTGAAGCTTTTAGGTTCTGGTCTGGAGCTTTTAGGTTGAAATCGGCCACTATTATACCACTAGGTCACTACGCTCTCTAGTTGAATAAAAATATAATTTTATCAATTATCACAACACGTGTCCTACGTGTGAAAAAACATGTTTATATCCACTGTAAACATGTATTAACTTGGATATACTTCCTTATCATTGACCATATTAGTAGTCCTACCCTTCATTTAGTAATTAATTTTACATAATATGGTCTAGTTATTGGCAGGATTAATATGCAAGATAAGTAGCCGTCGAGTTGCGACCAATTAGGGCTCTTGGTGCGGTACGAAGGAGTTAGTTTTGACCTGAATGACTTTAAAAGTGACACTCAAGGGCATGCGGCTTTGTTTAGCCACGGCGAGGTTAGGTGAAAGGATGGAAACTCAATTTTCATTGATTTCTATTATAAATATATACCATCACGGCTGCAATTCCAGGTGGGGTAATCAGAACTGTCACCTGCACGGCTGTGATTCCAGTATTGTCATCTGACGTCGCCGACTGCCTGTACCTTGTCTGTGTTTTCTATTAAATAAATAAAATTCTACCTATTTAATATAGTTTATTTATTTATAATTTAAGAACCACGCTGTTGTCGGTGGAGCTCTAGCCATTTTTCACAATTTTCCATCAATCTCTTTAGTTGTTGATACGATACATGACTCTTTCCTTGATCTGCTTGTTATAGCTGTGTCTTGGTGTTCCCCTTTCCCTCTTTCCTTATATTTTTCCTTCGATGACATTATCCATAAGTTCGTCGTGTCGATACGACAAGTGTCCAACATTTTTCCCCTTCTATTATCAATAATATTTATGATCTGTCTCTTTTTTTAACGCTTTACAGTAGATCTTTATTTCCATTTTATCTTTCCAACTAATTCTTTCGATCTTTTATTTATACCACATTTCAAAAGCTTCCAGTTTGTCCCTTCCTTTTGAGTCAATGTCTACGTCTCACAGGCATACAGGCATATTAACTACTAAATCATCTGTTTGTCCGTCTGTCTTTTCTATGTTAACTTTCTTAATACACCTGATAGCTTTAATGCAGTCAAGTAAAATCGCATCGAATCACATAATTTCCATGCAACACTGCATTCCAAAGGACCAGATTTACGCTGAGAAAATTCCTACGACCAGTACAAGTCAGCTATATGTTCGAACACAAAATAATTTTATTGCAGGCGTGTCGCGATGCAAACATGCAAATTAGATTAATTAAAATTCCCCGCAGTGGGAGACAGAGACCGGGAGGGTCGTAGGGGGAGGGGACCGATCACCGCAGGGGAGGTCGGGGGTATCGTGCAATCGGTGCGCGAGCACCTGCCGAGCCTGCGCGTGCGCACAGCTGGCGTCGACAGGCACTTGTAATAAAAAAAGAAATTCTGAAGTTGCGGAGAAATTTTAACATCATTGGACTCATTAATTAGAAGCTCCTGTTATTACCACGTTAAAATTTTATAATGATGGAAATTATTATATGTGAACAGTGCTCTCACCGGATCTACCTACAATCTTTATACATATACATGTATATGGTTCTGGCCCTAAAGTGGATAGATTTGAATTTATGTAAGTTTATGTCAAAACTACAGAGCTGATTTCTAAAATTCTGTCACTATTAGAATTCTACATTATCCCTGAGTAACATAAATCTATATTTATTACTTGAAAAATTATAAACTCCTACTATATCTTCAATAATATAATTCAAGGTGAAAAAAATGTCAATCCATTGAATGCCCAGACGGGTCGCTATTATAAAATAAAATTATACTCTATTTGAGCGTTTCCATCAGGAGAAAATCTAATATGAATCTATGTACTTAATATATTAAGTAAAAGTAAGTAATAATGATTTTTCTATTTCACAAATGGTCAACCCTACTAAGTACTGTCTCGGTATACATATCGCGAACAGGACAATAACGGAAACAGCCGCTAAATGGTTAAATGTCGGGACACTTGATATGCATTGGAATAATATTTAATAGATCTAAACTAGGGTTGTCACAATATTCTACGTTTAAAATATCTTCTTCTATATTTCGCTACACAGTAGGATGATATCCTAAAAGAATCATATCATTAAGTATACTTATGGAAATAACTAAAATAACAGAGTAGGCTTAGAACATATCAGAAAAAAGAATAAACTATAAAAAAATATTCAATTAAAATAGAAACCGCTATACATTTTATTTGCTTTAAAAATTCGTAGCAATAATTTCGCCGGTATTCGTCTGTCCCATGTCTATGTACTGTATTTCTTGTAAAAGCATTTAATTCTTATAGAGAAACACGGGTGCACATACGATATCTAATTGCTAATTTTCATGTTTTGTAACCTTAGTACAGGGTTCTTTCCTAAAATCTTTATTTTGAAAGGAAGACTAGATTTTAGATAAAGAAGACAATTTAGTAATATGCACACTGTTTAGTCGTTATTGGCACACTTAAAAAACAACTATGGATTTCCACATTGGTATTGTTGCATTAAACTTACTTAACTAACTAATCAAGAACAATTATTTTATTTGCATATAAAGTTTATTATAATTAGCATATCAAGGTGGTTAGGCGTTATAGAATATCCCTAAAATACGTGAATCATAAACAATGCGCGGGCGCCAATGCGGAAACAAAACGTACCATTATTAATAGTGTCGCCTACGCAACGCCGCTTTGAAGCGCCGCGGCCACCCATACTCGCAAACTACACCGCTTGAAAAAACAGGTTTTATTTGCATTTATGTCAAGTGCACTGGGTGAATAACAATGGAACGGAACAGAGAGACCGAACGTCAAGATTTGCAGCGTCATCGTCGAAATAAACTTTCGCAACTACTACCGGACTCTTGAGCACGTTGAATTTGAGATCAAAAGACGTATGACAAGCCTAGGACTATTAGTGCTTCCGGGAATAACATTTATACATACACTAACTCTGCTATATGTACTACAGGTATATGTGCAATATAAACGAATTCATATATTGCTAAGAACCGGTCTGGAGACTAATAGATTGAACCATTGTCACCGACTATTAAGATCTTCGCTTCCGATAGCTGAGACAACCTACGAGAACGTACTAGCGTAACTTTCGAGCGTCGACCCAGAAAGAAACAGAAACCAAAGGAGATAGCCGTCAATTAAGTGTAAGAGCTAATTAAGTTAGCATCGAGCTACGTTCTTTCGCACCGCGAACAATGTCCCTCGAAAGAAAGCGCCAGTTTCAAGGCCGCCGGCCCACAAGCAGTTCGCTCTCTTTAGCACAATACCGGCGGAAAAGTACCGGGGGGAACAACAATGCCATCGTGTTTGCGATCACTGCTCCCACGTTATTTATTTACCCGAAACCCGCGGTCACTCGTTCGTTAGTGGACGACTGAATCGGTGGGCGCACAAAGAGATGCGCGCGAGTCGTGCCGTTCGCTACTTTCTCTCGATAACCTTTCCAGGGGCGGGGAATGCGCGCTGTGATCTCGTATCGGCTGACCTCACGAGCGCTCGCCTTCTTTCGATCCGCACTACTGTCCATATGCGGAGGACTCGCTTTCTACTTGCCTCCTAAGTCCTAAGCCGAAGCGTTTGGATCTGATACTGGAAAGTAATGTAAACTGTTGTTAAGGGCGACCCTGCCGACCCTCGACATGATTCGTTAAATAGATTAACAATTCAAATACGTATAAAGTGATGTATCGATAGATTGCATGTCTCAGAAAATGTTCAGATGTTGCGCATTGATACGAACGACGGAAAGAGCGCAAGGTCGCGCGTTTATTGTGTGCGCCGGCGCAATCATTGTTGTAGTTTTACCACAGCCGGGGGGTTATTAAATTTTTTGCTAAGACTTTGTGTAGTTGTGTATAAAAAACTTTTTGGGTCACTGTTTTTGTGGCACACGTAATTTAATGTCACTGAAATATGTCTACATAGACAGTAGATTAATTTTTATATCTATAATAGATTTGGAAATAGCCGATTTATAATTGATGGAAAACGGTAATTGGCATCTCCAGATATAATCAAAGTAAACACAAAGTGTAGCAGACACCGTGAGGCGGTGGAATTCGATCGTCTGCCACACTCTGGTATCACTGCAGGAGCGATCACAATAAATAAGAAGGATACGTGCACTTACTTGGATGGAGTCTTGTGCGACGTTCTGGTTCCACCTTAATTTCAACGAGATGCTTCGAAGAGTATTCTCCTGGATTTATCCTGGTTATTCGGTAATATCACGATTTGCGAGACGACAGACCGCGCGTATGTCAAGCCAAGTGCATGCGTGGGTTCACCGCGCAAACCAACTTACGATTGTGTCCGCTCCAAACATTACGCGCGGTAAGCGAATAAAAAATGCACAATTTATGATTGGGACGGTACATAATTCCGCCCACCGAAATCCGATAGGCATTTCTTTAAATAAAAATATACATATAAACGATACTAATAAAAAAAAAAACTACTATTAGAAATACAGATGAACTACTCACTAATGCTATAACTATACCTACGATGTAAAACTACGATGGCTAAATATAAATAATAAATATTAAAACGGTTCATTGGGTAATGGGCATAATTTGACCAAAGGTCTCTTGATCAAATTATCCTTATCTGTTCGTACGGTAGCCACGCGAACCAGACCATCTGGTCCAGGGTGTAATTCTACAACTCTCCCTATTTGCCAATGTAAAGGTGGATGATTATCATCTTTGATAATGACCATTGAGTTTAATTCTAATGGCTTCGACTCTTTTGTCCATTTAGCTCGCAAATTTAACGAGTGGAGATATTCGTTTCTCCATCGATTCCAAAACGATCGTTGGAACGACTGAATCAGTTGCCAGCGATCTAGCCTGTTGACATTAAGGTGAGTTACATCCACATCTGGAACAGATGTCAATGGTTCCAGAGTTAAAAAATGTCCTGGTGTTAAGACTTGGTAATCATTGGGATCTGAACTCATAGGATACAAAGGCCGCGAGTTCAGGACTGCTTCAATTTGACTAAAAAGTGTAGCTAGTTCCTCGAATGTCAACACCTGATCACCTACAACTCGATATAAATGCGTTTTTGCAGCTCGTATTTGAATTTCCCATACACCTCCGAAATGAGGTGCAGAGGGTGGGTTAAATTTAAATTCGATCCGTTCTGTCTCAGACGCGATTTTAGTGAGAGACACGAGTTGATTACGAGCACCGATAAAGTTTGTACCACAATCTGCGTGTATTGTGGAACATCTGCCTCTCCGAGCAACGAAACGACGTAAAGCAGCAATAAATCCGTCTGTAGAAAGACTGGAAACGGTCTCTAAATGTACAGCCTTAGTGGCTAAGCATACAAATAAACAAAGATAAGCCTTGTCTATTTTAGCTCCACGATATGGTCCAGTTTTAATACGAAACGGACCAGCATAATCTACTCCTACAATAGAGAAAGGTTTTACTTCATTTACACGATATTTTGGAAGGTCGCTCATAAACGGTTGTAACGGTTTAGGTTGGAGTAGATAACAATTAAAACATTTGGATAAACATCGTCTTATAACGCGCTTAGCCGATATAATCCAAAATTGTTGCAGTATTAAATATTGTGTAGTATTTACGCCACAATGACAGTTGCTCAAATGAACCGATTGTATTAATTTAGATGTGAAGGGATTATTCGATGATAATAACGCCGGATGCTTTTGTTCATACTCAAGCCCAGAACGAGAGATCCTGCCGCCCACCCTGAGTACATCCTGGTCATCGATAAATACATTGAGTTTACGAAACGACTTTGGTAATGATTGACCAGAACGTATTCTTTCTAGTTCAGTAGGAAATGATAAAGTTTGAACGTATTTTACTATAATATAAAGTGATTTGTACCGTTCTTCACTAGTCAAGACTGAATCCGAAGAAAATTCAGATTTTCGTAATATAGTGAAGCCTACCTTATCGACTATTGCATCCAGCGAGAGATCGCTATTGAGTAAATCCTCAAAAAAAGGATCGAGATTAGGATGTGCCATCTGTTGAGTTAACAGAGTCGCGGTTCGCCTAACTTCTGAAAGCACCGTACTGTCATTTGTTTCCTTAACAAATACAGGGGTTGATGGCCACTCGGTGTGTGGTTTACATAACCACGTGGGCCCCGCCCACCATAACGAATTGTTAATAAGTTGTCGAGGAAGCTGTCCTCGCGAACAAATATCTGCAGGGTTATCATTTGTAGGAACATGACGCCACCGTTCAATCGTTGCAATGCCTTGTATGTGACTAACTCGGTTTGCAACAAAAGTTGTCCACTTTGATGAATGTGATCTAAGCCAAGAGAGAACGACAGTCGAATCACTCCATAGAGTGACAGAGAAATTAATACGCGGAGCATATGCCTCTTCCACGAATTTGAGCAAATTCACCAATAATACTGCCGCACATAATTCTAGACGTGGTAAGCTGAGCTTCTTTAAAGGAGCTACGCGAGCCTTGGAGCATACAAAAAACGTGTGTACACGATCGCTACTATCAGTAACACGCAAATAGATCACAGCACCATAAGCCTTTTCTGAGCTATCACAAAATCCGTGAAGTTCATATGACACGGCGTGATCGATAGTACACCGACGAGGCACGAATAAATTTTGAATCGATGGTAATTGCTGAATATAGTCATTCCATGTGCGAACTATGTCATCCGGTGGTGTTTCATCCCAACCTATGCCAGCCACCCAAAGTTGTTGAATTAAAATTTTGGTGTGAATCGTCAACGGGGAAAGAAATCCCAAAGGATCAAACACCCGACTAACCTCACTCAGAATTGATCGTTTAGTGCACATTTTATTAAGAGGTTTTACATGAAAGACGAATACATCATGGGATGGATCCCATTTCAGTCCGAGAACCTTCAGTGTACATGGTTGTTCATCAGTAAACGATTTAGCTTCAACCAGGCAATGCTCAGTCAGTACATCGTCCAGTAGCTCAGGTTTGTTACTAGCCCATTTTCTTAACTCGAAGTGCCCAGACTTGAGTAATTCAACAACTTGTGACTTCACCTGTCGGGCTTCGATCATATTGTTAGCACCAGTAACAATATCATCGACATAGATATCGTATGTAATCGCCCTTTTTGCTAAAGGTAATGTGTCGCCCTCATCGCATGCGAGCTGCTGAAGAGTTCGACAGGCGAGAAAGGGAGCCGATGAAACACCGTAAGTAACGGTGTTCAGTTTGTACTCTGATACCGGTTGTCGTGAATCTGAACGCCACAAGATGCGCTGGTAGTCTCGATGTGTTGGACTAATAACAATCTGCCTGTACATTTGGCGTATGTCCGCCATAAAGACAATAGCGTGTTCTCGAAAACGTAAAAGAACTTTCGTGATATCAGTTTGACATTTTGGTCCAATTAGCAGTGTATCATTTAACGACTGACCAAGATTATCCTTTGCGGAGGCATCAAATACCACACGCAATTGGGTGGTGGGACTGTCAGGCCGTACAACACAGTGATGCGGGATATAATATTTTCCGCGACGCTTTTCTGAAGTGGGTACCAATGACATATGACCACTCTGAAGATAGTCAAACATAAATTCAACGTATTGACGCTTTAAATCAGGGTCACGCGATAATCTACGTTCAAGAGCATAAAACCGCCTCTCAGCAATATCACGAGATCCCGAGAACACGGGTTCACAAGAATTTTTGAACGGTAAGTGTACCACATAACGACCGTGCTCATTCCGATGTGTAGTTGCGATATATTCCTTCTCGCAAAGAATGTCATCTGGGGTAAATGAATTGGCTTGAGGAACGTTATCGATTTCCCAGAACTTCTCCACTAATTTTGTAAGATCATCATATTGGATCTTTGATTGCAACGCAACCAATGACGAACCTGATAATGAAGTCTTTCCTAGTAATAGCCAACCAAATACTGAATTAAATGCAGGTGGTTGTGATGGACCGCCCTTAAGTCGTTCTGTAAGTAACGAATCCGCAAAAATATCTGCACCGAGCAACAGATCCACGGGTCCGGGTACATCAAACCCAGGGTCCGCTAAATCTAACGATTTGATATGTGACCAACCAGAAGTATTCAATCTCGCGATTGGTTGGTCACCACAGATCTTAGGAATGACGTGCATGTCAAGTTCAAATGATACGTTTGTATTATTTGTCGATAAGCTTCCTACGATACCACGCACTAAACCACTGATGGAAGCTGACACGTCACCCAAGCCGCTTATTGAAGAACAAGAAGAAAGCACATTAAGATTTAAACGATTTACTGCTTCTTCAGTAATAAAATTATTTTGACTGCCGGTGTCAAACAATGCTCGAAAAGTATTGTTATTCCCGAAACTGTCCTTTACCGTTACAAGAGCTGTTGCTAACAAGACAGTTGTGTTAACACTTGAATTTTGTGTTAACAGTGATGAAGTGTTACTGGAATTTGTTACTTCCCTATGTAACAATGTATGATGTCTACGCTTACATTTTTGACATGTGAATACAGAATTACAAGTTTTCAACTGATGCG